CTATGTGAGAGAAAGGAAAATCCAACAGGAGGTCAGATTTTTTTATGATAAGTCATTGAAACTCCGAATTCCAAGAGTGTGAACGCTGGCAGGGAGAGCTTTTTAACACTACATGTGCATGCGGAATAGGGATGCGGGGGAGTCCTGGTTCCAGGGGTAACATGAACTGAATTGCAGCACTTTGCATGTTCCTGTGCTGGTTCCAAGCCAACCAGGTGCCGTCAAAGGTCCGTGCCCCACTGTTGCGCTCAGCGTTGCATCTTTGGGGCTACTGTCTCCTTTGGGTTTTTAGTCATAGAAGCTGGCTCTGTGCCTGTCCAGGAACTGCTAGATGTGCTTTCTCTGGGTTCCAGGTCTTGTGCTCTCTGAGCTTTTAGGTGACTCCTGTTTATGTGGTGTCTGGGTACTTCAGTCTTTTATGCTTATCAGGACAGACCCTGATGGGATCAGGTCAGTGCCACTATCCTCTTTTTACGGAGAGAGGCCTTTCATCTGCCAGATTCCTCCCCTGGCTTCTTTAAGGTGTTCTTTCGGAAGGTGGGTTTCTGGATTCAGATGTTTTGCAGTGCTTCCTGCCTTCTGGTCCATCACATACACAGAGACCGGCAATTAACATGCTCCATCCTCTCCATAGATTTCTGCTTCCTCAATTTCAGTGTCCACTCCGTTCAGGAAGAGCCATTTGGTTTTCTGCGGGGAAGACAGGCAGGTAGGCCAGAGAAAGAAGCACACTCATTCAGACCAACCAGCCACTCGCTCTGAAAGCCATTATGAAGCAGAATTGTCCCATTTGGAGTTCAGGGTAGGATTATTGTCATTGCAGATGGTAGTAACTAACCGTGTCTCTGGCTGTTTGTTCTGTGTGCTTGTTTCAGAGAACGGGAAAGTGGCCGTGGAATATGATTCCACCCAAGAGGAGCTCACAGACTCCTTAACAGAAGAGGAACTGAAGGGGCTTGTGCAGGTAAAAGCAGTGGATATTTAGCTTTTCCACAGGACCTGTACGTTACATCTAGAGATCGGAGATACAGCTGGTAACTGTTACAGCCTCTGAGACCCTCCTTTTATGCAGCAATTACCTCGACTTAAGGGTAATCACGTCTTGGAATGGTACAGCACACTAAGGTTTTAAAACTCTTACTTTTTTGGGTATCTGTGCAGAAATGCATGTATATTTTAGATGGCACAGGAAAGCGAGCAGTTAGGGTACAGGACTGTTACAGTGCAGCTTGACAAGTCTCACACATGACAGTGTCCAGGACTGCTCTTCATAGAATCTGTGAGGGTGAACATCCTGGTAAAGTCACAGTAGGTTAAATCAAATGATTTTTTAATAAGTTCCTAAATAAATCAAACTTCCCATCTAGAAACGCACTTCACAAACTTCTCCTTACCCAGAGGGAATGATTGTTAAAAGCTTTGGTGAAATAAAAGCTTTGGTGAAATCCCTGCAGGTAATTGTGGGATCTGTTAGCATGCATCGAACAAAAATACCCCGGGTACAACAGTAAAACTTTTATCATCGTGCTCAGTGAGATGAGTTCTGCGTGCCAGCCTTTGCACGCAGCCGGTCATGAGCAGAGGATTTTCATCTCGCTTAGTCTGAAAACCCTGCTCTCTACCAGGGGGGATGACTGATACAGCGGTCTTTCGAAAGCAAGCATCACTCTCACATGATGCATCAGCACCGCGCTGCGCAGTGTCTAACTCCTCCTGCAGTTTGCCTGGAGGAAGTGTCTATCGAACCTTGTGACACGTTACTCCATTTGATGACGCTGAGTCACCTGGTGTCCACGGGCAGAACTATCTTCCTTTCTTACTGAAGAGTAGCAGTAAAACAGGAGGTATTTTGGTGTGTGAAGTAACTGACGTCCACCAGATATTTTTTTTTTATCAGTTGAGAAGATGAAATTACTGCTGGTTTCTTCTTTGTCTGCATTTTCCTCTGTACTGCCCCTTCTATCTGACTTCTTTTAAACCCGCAGAGAACTGACCATAAGAGTGACCACATGCAATGACCATAAGAGAAGTGAGCAGCAAAGTCAAACAGAAGGCCTGCCGCTTCTCAAACCTCTGTTTTACCAGGAGGGTCATCCCTCACCTCTCCTGCCGCCTCACGTCCCTTGCGATGGTGTGTGGGAGGTAATTCGGCGCTCTCTCTCCGCAAGGCACCTTGCAGCCTGATAGGAAGAGGCACAGACAGGAATTCGGAAGGGCTTGCTTGGGAGGAGAGCTGCTGGGTGTCCTTTTGGTTCATTGCCTTGTGATGTCGGTCAGTCTTTCCAAAACAGAAATGTTCCCGAGTTGGTAAATTCCGGGGAGGCTGTCTCTTGTACCCGGTAAAAATATATTGTTTCCAGGTGCAGAGGGATGAAGGTAAAATATGTTGTAGAGAAAGAAATTTACTCTTGATTTCTCTTCCCAGGTCAGTGAATTGTCCTTGGAACAGTTTGACCTCGAAGAAGAAGAAGAAGTTTTGTCTGATCTCAGTTTTGATGATGAGCTCCCTAGCCGGGAGATGCCATCTAATTAGTGCAGCTCTGTCTTCACGTCGTTTCCAAAAGTTCTGCAGCGTTTGATTAGGAATGAAAGTCTAACGCTGTGAAATGACATGTGCGTCATATCTAATGTTTTCTTTTTCTCCAAATACGTAACAGCAAAAGAAATGGGCAATAAACCTCATGTTACTAAAATTAAGCCCAAAAATGTATGCTGTTTTTGGAGAGGAAGTGTTTTCTTGTCAACTTATCCAGGTCAGCTATATATGGAAGCCAGCTTAGCTGCGTGATTATTATTTAGACAGCATAACAGATGTGCATAGCACTTATAGAAGAATAAAAGGAATGAGCCCTCCCTGCAAGAGCCTACAGTTCAGGTTCGCTCTGATCTGCAGGAGAAAGCTGGAGACGGCAGAAGAAGACATCTTACCAGCAGGAGTAGCTGTGGTACTTACACACACGGGCACAGAAAAAGATAATTTCTCTAAGTGAAATTTCTCTTAAAGAAATAAGCCTAAGTCTTGTAATAATGTGTTGAGCCACATGGGTTGAGCCCCAACTACTAGTTGTTGGGACATTGTCACGATGTAAAGCAAAGATTCTTTTTTCAATAAATTAAGGTTTTTCATTAAATTAAGTAAAATTTTGTAACTCTGTGTGATGAGTGAACCTCAGAGGCAGGACAAGCAATGGGAAGGGGCATCAAGCTCCCCAGATCACGAGGCGGGGGGGCAGGGAATGCTCATTTGATAACAGACCCCTGCTCAGATTTTTTGACCTCTGTCTTTGGAAAAAAAGATGATTGAAAAATGGGAGAGGTCAGGAAGAGCCACAGGAATGATTTGAGATCGCTCTTGAAATGAGAGGAGTGTGGCCTGTTTAACTTAACAACAAATTGAGGAAAGGGGTGATTTGATCCAGGAGAAGACGCTTGATACCGGGTGACCTTTTTAACCAGAAGGCGAAGGTGAAACAAGACCCCGTGGCTGGACGCTGAATTTAGAGACACCCAAGCGGGAAGCAAGATGCAGCGTTTCACAAGGGAGGGAACGGCCCTCCGGGGGACACGGTAAATCCTCTACCGTGGCGAGATCGCAGACAGAGATTGTATTTACATATATATATATATTATACATTCTGCTGCTGGCAGAGACGCCCGAAGCCCCAGACCCCACTC